AAAAACACACGCAGATATATGTACAGGTCATATAATAAAGTAGATTTAAACTTTTGATAAAATAGGCCTAGATATACACAGGTCATATAATGGAAGTAGATTTTTTAGGCCTACTACATTAAACTAGTTTAAATTTACTCCCATTATATGAACTGTGTATATCTAGGCCTATTTCATTAACAGTTTTCTATTTAGTTACGACGCTTTTTATTCTCTGACATGTCATAACTGCTTTTATAAATCTTTCGGCTGCCAGGCATTTGAGTGTTTTATTTATGGTGTCGTTTTATATGTTTATGCTTATATATAGTGTTTTACATGGAACATATCTATTGTAATTATTGTTTTACTTTATAATAAACAGGTGATCTCTAAATGTCCTACTTCGTCATATTTTTACATGTCTAGTTGTCCTGGATTCCGTAGCTTGATTTCTACATAAAATGTATGTATAGATTTTTAGGGTAATATAGCACAAAATGATACGAAGTTTACTCACACATACCTTTGTACTTTTTCAAAATTTAGACAAACAAGATTTATAACAAAGTAAAGTGAGCCCGAGTGTTTAATCTAATAATGAACATTAGCATAGTTATAAAACAATCCAAGTAGTACACAAAGCCTTAGAAGTACAATTTAAGGATATTAAAAATAAAAGGAAATGCAATACAAAATCTTCATTTTTTTGTTACTTTTGTTAAGAAAACTGAAGAAATGATGAATGAGGTTCTTGGTTATCAGTGTCTGATATTTTGTAAACGAAAGCCTTCTGCTAATTTAAAAACAACAACAACAATATGATTTTTTTTCCTTCGATTTTCCTACGTAGAAAAAAATAACAACTTTTATCACGTCAGCCATGGGCTATTTCTTGCTTGTAAAGGTTATCATAGTCAAAGCAACATAGAGCAGGAAACCTAGTTACCTGGGTGACAAGGCTTACTAGAGACAAATGACGAAAGTTATTGTGGTTGGCGGTGCAGATGATAACGTCGACGTTGGAACGATTGTCGTAAGATATAATTTTTATATAAAATGTAACGCAGTGTAAAAAACCTGCATGCGTACAAATAGTAATAAAGGCCCTATTTAGGTCTGGACAAGAATATTTAATCGACGCGAAAGAACTTTGATATAAAAGAAGAAGTAAGATTAAAAATTATAAATTATCACGGCCATTTTGGCTACTGCATAAAAAAACACGAAGAAATCTTACAAAAGCAACACATAACTTTGATGTGAATCTAATTAATCAGTGATATCTAAATCCTGTGCCAGTAGAAGAAAATATGATGAAAAACAAGTGTTAAAATAACCAAAGTTATAATATTTACCTTATGCCTCTCAGTCATCATTATAAGTAATTCTGAAGCTAAATAAACTCTTCATTAAGTTTCTGTTAAGATAAGTAAAAATTACAATAAAATACAATTACACACAGATGTATATTACTAGTATATCAAGCTATACAAGATTAAGTTGAAATAAAGATTTACTGTGATCATAATATGATTTATTATACAAACCGTTCATAAGATATAAATCACAGTGATTAGTTTGCATTAATTCAACAGTTGGGTACCTTTACTCATAACGGAGTTTCGATTTTCTTCAAAATGTCTTCATGTCACTTGAAAACTGACAAACATAAGACAAACATAATTACATAAAATTCTAGCCACACGACCACCTTTACAAAGTACTTTACAATTACCTTAAGACAAACATAATTACATAAAA